TGGCCCTGGGTCAGCAGCTCAAGGATGTTGGGACTGAGGTCCCTAGATGGAGGTCCTCCTCGTGGTCCCAAGATGGTCGCTGCTGTTGTCTAGCCAGCACATTCACATTCCTGGCTAGAAGTAGGAGGACGGGACGAAAGGACACGCCTCACGTCGAGTCACCCGTCCCCTTAAAGCACGTTCCCACGTCTCCACCACCTCACCTCCCCCTCCTCGACCTTCGCCATGGCTCTGGCCCATCACAGCCGAAACAGCGCTTTCTAGCTTAGTCACGATTCCACATTGCTAAATTTAACAGGCATTTGTCATTCCTCATCTTTCGCGACCTCTCCTTCTCTCTTAGCAGAGCAAGAGTCCCTTTTTGAAATACATTCTTCCCGTGCTCTCCATTTACAGGAAATACAGAAGGCAAAGGAACGTGATAAACCACAGGGAGCCAGTCAGCAAAATCCAACTGGAAAACTCCATGAAGATAATGATCTGACCTTCGATAAATACATCTTTAGGAATGGAGGACCAACCCATAGGTTAAAAGAGACCTAGAAGACATATCAGCCAATCCTAGTGTTAAATTTTATTTGAATCTTGATTCAAACAACTCAAAAAAAGTATGAGACAATTTGGAAAATTTGAACAGACTGAGTAGCTGATGATATTAAGCAACTATTTATAATTTTTAGGTATGATACTATGATATAATCATGTATTTTAAATTCAGAGTATTTAGATTTTAGAGGTACACAGTAAAATGTTTATTGATAAACTAATCTGTGAAGAAGGGGAATGGGTGGGGCACAGATGAAATAAAAGTGGCCTTCAGTTTACATTTGACTTTGAGTGATAGGTACCTTGGAGCCCATGATACTATCCCACTTTTGAAATGTTTGAAATTTTTGCATAATAAAGTTTCAAAAACAGTGGTGAGTGGTGTGGGGGGACGGAATAATAAAACAGGTTATCTATCATGCCATTTATGTAAATTTAAAATATATAAACACACAAAAATACCAATAAAATGATAAGAACAGCAAACATTAGAATGGTTGCCATTAGGAAGGCTGGGGACACTGAGAATAAGAAAAAAATACATAAAAATAAGTGAAAAAGAGAGGGACATTGCACTGACCAACAGTGAGGTGTCGTTAACTCAACCCTCTGCCTCTGAGTTCAAAAAAAGTTCTTTGACACAGCTGTGAGGATTAAATGAGACATGCGGGTACTATTCCTGGCACAGTGCCTGGCTCATCATAGGTTCTTTATAAATGTTCGTTTTCCTACATCCCATGTACTCCCCACGATCTGCCTGCCCTGCGGTGGCATACAACTGACCGAGTCAGTTCACTTTAAGATACGGAGCGCTGGTAACAGCGTCATCCTCCTGTCTCCTCAGCAGAGGCTTTCCAGACAGAGCAACTCCTAAAGAAGGAATCTATAGTGAGGGAAATTTCTGCATCCTAAGAGAAACTTTCATTTCCTTAGTGCTGAACCCCAAAGCAAGAGGCTAACAGTGGGCACTGCAAGGGTGATTTCGGGAGCACTCAGATCTGCCCCCGCCAGCCCACAGCTCTTCGGGGTGGCATTCTGGGTTTGTTTCCATCTACTTTCTCCTAAATCAAACATATCGGCACTAGAAAGCATACCACCTGCTAGCTTGTCCTCAGAATTAGAGAGCTCTGGGTTGCAGCTTGATCTTAGATGAGCATCAAAGTGAAATATTTATGTTCTGAGCTTTGCTCTCCCATCTAGCTGGAAATACTTCCATTTCATGCTCCAGCCTAACCACTGTCAGAAGCCAGCCTCCATCAGTGCCCCCTCTCTGCCTCTGTGGCTACAGATGCCATGTTCCTTCCAAGAAATACATGAGCTTTTAATTCAAAATCATGTTCCAGGTGACTGGCTCACTGGGGATCATTCAGAAGTTGCCAATGACTCACCCAATAAATTTGAAGCCCAGGAGTTGACTTGAAGTTGCCTGACAGCTGCTCAGTGGCTGAAGGTGAAAAGAAACAGAATTCTACATCAGTTTATAATAGTTAAATGTTCCTGGTCTACCTCATAGGAGCTGTTGGAGTGAAAAGCAATCAATTAGTGATGTTTCTGGCTATAACTTGTTCCCAACAGGTCAAGGTTAAGGTCAACTGTAAGCGGAGGGAAGGACATTTCACCATTTGAACACAGAAAAGCCAAGCCAATCAGGTGCATATCGTTACCTAGCATATTATATATGTCCATCGCCATGATGGCAGGTACCGAGGAAGTCACTCTAAGACCCCTGCCTTCAAGATTTAAATAATATTGTGAGGAACATAGAAAATTATAAAGAACAATGTGAGACTGTACAACTAAGTAACCATATGACCAGCTGGCATCCATTGCTGTCTGGAATAACTTTCCTCACCTGTTTTCGTAGGCCTGCATTCTAATTCTAATGGCTCCAAGGCCATTACCCACATAGAATCTTTCTCTGTAGACTTATCTTGGCACTCACTTTTCCATCTGATCCCTCCAAGGCAGCAGCCTCGGACCTCCAGGACTCACGGAGGAGTCCTGCCCTATGGAGCTCAGGGACAAGACGAGCCCTACCCTCAGCCTATTGCTCATGGGTTCGAGACAAAGATGACTGAGGAGTCCAAGCAGCTTCTGAGGGTGGGAGCTGGGCGAAGTTCTCCCTTCAGTGCCTTGCTTCTTGAATCCTTTGTTATTTTAAGCAGATGCCCGTGTGGACGACCAGGAGCAAGTAACTGACAAAATCATCCAGGATCACAGGCAAGAAGCTCTGCCTTACGCCACCAGACCCAGCCTACATCCCGAGTCATTAATCCCTGCCCCAGAAAGTTAGGATTAGACTGCTGCGTCTGGACCACTCAGCTACGTTTGTATTACTGGGAACAATGTCGAAATCCCACAGCTCAGAGGCTTAATATCTGTCACAAACTGTTCCTGGACTCATTCTTTTCCCCCTTCATTCCAAGCCTCCTGAACAAGCAAATGAGGGCTTTCAGCCGTAAGTGATTGAGTTATCTAACCAAACTGACCAGAAAAGGGTGAAAGCAAACAAAATCAAAGCAAAAATTTGAATTTAGCTAAAGGAATTGTAAAGCTGGGAATGACTTTTCCATCTGAGCAAGCCAAAGGTAAATGTTAAGAAAATTAACTTAGGCATTTTTCATGCCTCACAGGTTCTGTGTTGGCTGAAAGCAGCTTAGAATCTTGGGAGGGGCACTGTCTTTACAGACAGTAAATACTGAAAGGAGTTGAGACGACCCAGCATGGATGCACAACACAGACCATGCTGGTTGTGTTCAGCCATCTTGTCTTTCAACGCCATGATGAAACACAACCCAAGGACAATGATTTCATTTAAAAAGTCCATTACTAGGTAACCACTAGTATGAATTAGGGTACTTATGCAAGCAACCAAAACTGCCTCTCTTAAGCAAAACGGGAATCTGTTGGAGAGATACAGGATGGCTTGCAGGATGGCACACGGAGCTGAATCATCAGTCCCTGAAAGGTCAAAATCAGACCCTCTACTAGTCTGGGGGACTGGGGATGATTATCAGCTCAGCAGGGCCCCACTGCTAAGCAAACACGAAACCCAAACACTTTTCTTTTGTGTGTCAACCCTACTCAGGATTAAGATTCCCGAAGAGTGTCTGACAGCCCAGCCTGGAGCACGTAACTGCCCATTGTCCAGGACTGGATAGGGCATTTTGAATGACAGTCCCCCGCAAGAAATTAGTATACACTAGGGAAAAGGGAGCCCCCCCACCCAGGAAATCCGGCCATCTCTACCACAAGAAAGGGACAGTAAGTTGGGCAGGCGAACACACGCCCACTTTACCACCTCTTACCAAATTCCATGCAACGGAGAATAACGAGGTCGCAGTGTGCTTCCATACGATTTCTTGCATTAACAAAAAAGACTGTCCTCCCGAAATGGCTGTTTTTGAAAGTTACTTAACCTCCCTCAGAAGCAGCTTCCTCAACTGGAAATGAGAACGTTGAGCCTGATAAGGATTTTCAAATTACAAGTATCTCAGGCAAGAAAGAAACTATCGATTAATTACAAAGGATTCTGAGGGCTGCTGTCTGTGGTGGGTAAGGACAGGAGGATGGTGACAAAAGCTGGATGAAGACCACAGTCTGTCCATCAATACTGGTCCTGTGTGAAGAAAATAAACCAGAAAAACATGCCACTGGCCAGATTATGGTGAAAACTCAGGAGAGTGGACAATACTAGCATTATGAAGGTCCATGTCCCAAAGAATGTAGTAGGAAGGAGGAGAAAAGAGAAAGCCAACTTTTGAGGCAGAACGATTTAAAAATGAAGCTGTGCCGTGGCCAGAATCCTCTCCTTAAACCAACCATGAGATCTGTCCCACAAATCTGGATATTAGGAATCTCCTCAAATTGAAGGTCAGCTGACTCTACTGGGAATAAGGAGTGGCTGGGGAATGAGATGCCTCAGGCATACACCCCAAGTCTCCATCAACTCACTACCACCACCATTTTTCTTTGATACGGGCAACTGTGTGTGTGTGAGGTTGTTGGCCTTAGCAAGACCTATATGCACAGAGCTTCAAAGCCAAACCTGTCCAACCAGATTGCTGCTCCAAAGCCACCACCCTGGACTGAAATTTTGAAGTCACCATTTCATTTTCCTCTAGGAAGTTCTGACAAACTTGGACATTTTGGCCCACACTACTACGCAATTTACACCCCAGAAGCCAATGCTAGTAAAACCCAGAAACACACCATTGAAACATGTCCAGCGGTTATTGCAGAGTTTAGTTAACCAGATGCTCAATTCAATTGTTATAAGTCTCAGTGGCCACCAGCCCCAATGTACCCCGGGGCAGTAGCCAAGAGCAGCAAGGACTGGCTCCTCAGGACCTCTGTTTTTCTGGCATTGGCGGGACAGTCTCACATGCTGCTTTGTCTCACAGGCATGTTAGGCATGTTCCCTCCTCTTTATCAGGGACCAGACAGAGGCTGGAGGTGGGTTTGACCCACCAGGTGTAACGATAGTTCCCTTTTCTTTCCCTTTCCTGTAGTTTATCAACAGAATCCCATTTCAGCTTTGTGGCCACTGGGGCCACATAGCAGCAAAGGCAAGAAACTCCCCATGAAAATGTTCCTCTCCTTGGCACATCCCCTGAGAGGCAACCACCAGCCGTTGATTAGAGGCCCTTCCAGAGGCTCCCGCTTCCCAGTGCCCACTGTGGCACCACTGAGATCTCAGCAGGAGTGAGAGGGCGTGGCTGCTAGTGCCTGATGCACTTTTCAACCGGTGCGGCACGGGGGCCGGTGCTCCCGCTCCTCTCCGGAGCGTCCCATCACAGAGCAGCACCGCAAAGTTTTAGTCTGCTGCTGCTTTTGACTCAACACTCCCACCCCACCATCCCCCAATCCTGTCCTCAGGCCAGCCGTGACCATGGCCCTCTCCTGGTCAGCTCCTCCGTCACCATCTTGAGGCCTCAGTGAAGCCATAGGAAAGGAAGCCAGCCAGAATGTCGGCAGGAGGAAGAAAATACAGTGAGCACAGACAAGGGTGGTGTCACGGACCACGTGTGCATATGTGACCAGCAAAACCATTTATGTCCTTTCCGTAAGAGTCCTGGGCTGATTAGCGGTCTGTAGAGTATATACTTACACATTCATACACATATGCATGTTTTATACATTATATTTACACATTTATGTATTTTAACATATTTTATGTATATAGAAATATTTAGTGCTACTTATGAGTCTGTTTCCTAAGTCAGATTGGGTAAATTGGAACCAAGTTTCCTCAGAGCCATGGGGTTTTGACTAGCGGAGTTCAATGCCAGGGGGAGAAAAGTCACTAAGAGGACTGAAGAAGAAGGTCGAGGTCGTTAGGAAACCATGCTTTCTCTCTGGGGTGGGTGTGTGTGTGTGTGTGTGAGAGAGAGAGAGAGAGATAGAGAGAGAGAGAGAGAGAGAGAGATTGATTCTCTCTCTCTCTGTATCTTTCAATCTCACTTGCCTACTCCTGTCTCCCCAGCCTCTACCACTATTTCTTTATAGGCCCCCCAAGTCATTTTACGTCTCTTCCTCCATGTTACTTAGCCTTTATTACACAAGCAAGCTATCATAATTTCACCACTGTTATCAATTTCAATGTCACTGTTTCTTTAGGTTGCTGGCTGAGAACTTTTATGTAAAACAAATGTTTGTAAATCCTCACATTTTCCCACTGACTTCCATTGCCATCTCAGAGGTATGGTCCAACAGAGGAGAAAACTGTGACATATGCAGTAAAAAACACAGATGGAGCCTACTATATCCTTAAAACAATACTCCTCCTTCGACTATGATTTATAAGTATGGGATTCTCCCACTGCACATCTGCAAGAAAAGTCAAATAGGCAATCAATTAGAAAGAGCGCTCCATGTTAAAAGTGTATTTATGTTTTATTAACTACCTTCTTTGATTGATCGGCTTTTGTTTTATTGGGTTTTCTCAATGCCCCAATGTAAACTGACAACTTAATCATCCATATTTGTAACCATTTGAAAGGCTATTCAACGCAAACCGCCTGTAAGCTCCCTGGTCAATCGTTTGAGAAATGCTCCTCGGCTCCCTCCCCTCCCTCAAGGCTGCTATGTCCTGACCTGTCCCACACTCCTCTACCCCTCCACAGCTGCCCTGGTCATGAGACAGCCTTCTCAGAGCTGACCCTGTCCTCCTCCTTGAACTGTCATCTGCTTCTGCTCTCTTCTTGCCCCAGCTCCTACCCAGCACAGACTCTTCCACCCGTCTGCCCCGTGGTCCATGCATTCACTTGTCAAATGCTCGAAGCATTCTAATGTTACTCCTTCTTTAAAATCATATTAGCATGTGCTGGCTGCTAGCAGCTTATGACCTTTTTGGCTCTAGCCTTTCTAAACAGGAACATGCAGTCTTTCTGGGTTTTGTTTTTGGAGGGGGGTGGTGGTTGTTATTGTTGTTAGTCCAATACT